GTTGTAGTGTGGTGGAGTCTGCCTGTTGTAGTGTGGTGGAGTCTACCTGCTGTAGTGTGGTGAGTCTACCTGCTGTAGTGTGGTGGAGTCTACCTGCTGTAGTGTGGTGGAGTCTACCTGCTGTAGTGTGGTGGAGTCTACCTGTTGTAGTGTGGTGGAGTCTACCCTTGTAGTGTGGTGGAGTCTACCTGTTGTAGTGTGGTGGAGTCTACCTGTTGTAGTGTGGTGGAGTCTACCTGTTGTTGTGTGGTGGAGTCTACCTGTTGTAGTGTGGTGGAGTCTACCTGTTGTGAGTGGTGGGTCTACCTGGTATTAGTCTTGGAATCGCTGTACTGTGCTGGAGTTCATGCAGTAGTAACCTGTGGCCTCAGAACCGTTATTATATTGTAATAGCTTCTTGTAGTGAGGTTACAGAGACAGGTGACATAGACGGGTGACAAGAGACAGGTGACACAGAGACAGGTGACACATAGACAGACAGAGAGACAGGTGACGCAGAGACAGGTGACGCATGAACGGGTGACAGAGAACAGGTTACACAGGACAGGTGACATAGACAGGTGACAGAGAGACAGGTGACGCAGAGACAGGTGACGCATAGACGGGTGACAGAGAGACAGGTACACAGAGACAGGTGACGCATAGACGGGTGACAGCAGAGACAGGTGACGCAGAGACAGGTGACGCATAGACGGGTGACAAGAGACAGGTGACACGCAGAGACAGGTGACGCATAGACGGGTGACAGAGACAGGTTACACAGAGACAGGTGACGCATAGACGGGTGACAGAGAGACAGGTGACGCAGAGACAGGTGACGCATGGACGGGTGACAGAGACAGGTTACACAGAGACAGGTGACATAGACGGGTGACAGAGACAGGTGACGCAGAGACAGGTGACGCATAGACAGGTGACAGAGACAGGTGACGCAGAGACGGGTGACGCATAGACGGGTGACAGAGAGACAGGTTACACAGAGACGGGTGACGCATAGACGGGTGACAGAGACAGGTGACGCAGAGACAGGTGACGCATAGACGGGTGACAGAGACAGGTTACACAAGACAGGTGACACATAGACGGGTGACAAGAGAGACAGGTGATGACACAGACAGGGGTGACGCATAGACGGGTGACAGAGAGACAGGTGACGCAGGAGAACAGGTGACGCATAGACAGATGACAGACAGACAGGTGACATAGACAGGTGACGCAGAGGCAGGTGACACAGAGGCAGTGACACAGAGACAGGTGACACAGAGAGACAGGTGACACAGAGACAGGTGACACAGAGACAGGTGACACAGAGACAGGTACACAGAGACAGGTGGGACAAAGTGACACAGACAGGTGACCTAGAAAGACTGGTGACACGTACTACACCCATCAAAGAATCTTGTAGTTGTCCATGTGGTATGTATCCTAGGGCAGGTGTATAGGCTGTTATTTGAAGGGAAGGGGCACTTACCTGGTTGTCTTCAATATCTCAGGTACTAGGAAGGGGCACCTGGTTGTCTTCAATATCTCAGGTACTAGGAAGGGGCACATACCTGGTTGTCTTCAATATCTCAGGTACTAGGAGGGCACTTACCTGGTTGTCTTCAATATCTCAGGTACTAGGAAGGGCACTTACCTGGTTGTCTTCAATATCTCAGGTACTAGGAAGGGGCACTTACCTGGTTGTCTTCAATATCTCAGGTACTAGGAAGGGGCACTTACCGGTAGTCTTCAATATCTCAGGTACTAGGAAGGGCACTTACCTGGTTGTCTTCAATATCTCAGGTACTAGGAAGGGGCACTTACCTGGTTGTCTTCAATGTCTCAGGTACTAGAAGGGGGCACATACCTGGTTGTCTTCAATGTCTCAGGTACTAGGAAGGGCACTCTACCTGGTTGTCTTCAATGTCTCAGGTACTAGGAAGGGCACTTACCTGGTTGTCTTCAATGTCTCAGGTACTAGGAAGGGGCACTACCTGGTTGTCTTCAATCTCAGGTACTAGGAAGGGGCACATACCTGGTTGTCTTCAATATCTCAGGTACTAGGAAGGGCACACCTGGTTGTCTTCAATATCTCAGGTACTAGGAAGGGGCACATACCTGGTTGTCTTCAATGTCTCAGGTACTAGGAAGGGGCACTTACCTGGTTGTCTTCAATGTCTCAGGTACTAGGAAGGGCACATACCTGGTTGTCTTCAATGTCTCAGGTACTAGGAAGGGGCACATACCTGGTTGTCTTCATATCTCAGGTACTAGGAAGGGGCACTACCTGGTTGTCTTCAATATCTCAGGTACTAGAGGGGCATACCTGGTTGTCTTCAATGTCTCAGGTACTTAGAAGGGGCACATACCTGGTTGTCTTCAATGTCTCAGGTACTAGGAAGGGGCACTTACCTGGTTGTCTTCAATATCTCAGGTACTAGGAAGGCACTTACCTGGTTGTCTTCAATATCTCAGGTACTAGAAGGGGGCACATACCTGGTTGTCTTCAATGTCTCAGGTACTAGGAAGGGGCACTTACTGGTTGTCTTCAATATCTCAGGTACTAGGAAGGGGCACATACCTGGTTGTCTTCAATATCTCAGGTACTAGGAAGGGCACTTACCTGGTTGTCTTCAATGTCTCAGGTACTAGGAAGGGGCACTTACCTGGTTGTCTTCAATGTCTCAGGTACTAGGAAGGGGGCACTTACCTGGTTGTCTTCAATATCTCAGGTACTAGGAAGGCACATACCTGGTTGTCTTCAATGTCTCAGGTACAGGAAGGGGCACATACCTGGTTGTCTTCAATATCTCAGGTACTAGGAAGGGGGCACTTACCTGGTTGTCTTCCAATGTCTCAGGTACTAGGAAGGGGGCACATACCTGGTTGTCTTCAATGTCTCAGGTACTAGGAAGGGGCACATACCTGGTTGTCTCCAATATCTCAGGTACTAGGAAGGGGCACACCTGGTTGTCTTCAATGTCTCAGGTACTAGGAAGGGCACTTACCTGGTTGTCTCAATGTCTCAGGTACTAGGAAGGGGCACATACCTGGTTGTCCTCATCCAGGTACTAGGAAGGGGCACATACCTGGTTGTCTCCAATATCTCAGGTACTAGGAAGGGGCACATACCTGGTTGTCTTCAATGTCTCAGGTACTAGAAGGGGGCACATACCTGGTTGTCCTCAATGTCTCAGGTACTAGAGGGCACACTGGTTGTCTCAATGTCCAGGTACTAGGAAGGGGCACATACCTGGTTGTCTTCAATGTCTCAGGTACTAGGAAGGGGCACATACCTGGTTGTCTTCAATGTCTCAGGTACTAGGAAGGGGCACATACCTGGTTGTCTTCAATGTCTCAGGTACTAGGAAGGGGCACTTACCTGGTTGTCTTCAATATCCAGGTACTAGGGAAGGGGCACTTACCTGGTTGTCTTCAATGTCTCAGGTACTAGGAAGGGGGCACATACCTGGTTGTCTTCAATATCTCAGGTACTAGGAAGGGGCACTACCTGGTTGTCTTCAATATCTCAGGTACTAGGAAGGGCACATACCTGGTTGTTTCAATGTCTCAGGTACTAGGAAGGGGCACATACCTGGTTGTCTTCAATGTCTCAGGTACTAGGAAGGGGGCACTTACCTGGTTGGTTTCAATATCTCAGGTACTAGGAAGGGGGCACATACCTGGTTGTCTTCAATGTCTCAGGTACTAGGAAGGGGGCACATACCTGGTTGTCTCTTCCCAGGTACTAGAAGGCACATACCTGGTTGTCTTCAATGTCTCAGGTACTAGGAAGGGCACATACCTGGTTGTCTTCAATGTCTCAGGTACTAGGAGGCACATACCGTTGTCTCCAATATCTCAGGTACTAGGAAGGCACTTACCTGGTTGTCTCCAATATCTCAGGTACTAGGAAGGCACTTACCTGGTTGTCTTCAATGCCCCAGGTACTAGGAAGGGGCACATACCTGGTTGTCTTCAATGTCTCAGGTACTAGAAAGGGGCACATACCTGGTTGTCTTCAATGTCTCAGGTACTAGGAAGGGCACATACCTGGTTGTCTTCAATGTCTCAGGTACTAGGAAGGGGGCACATACCTGGTTGTCTCCAATATCTCAGGTACCAGGAAGGGGCACTTACCTGGTTGTCTTCAATGTCCCAGGTACTAGGAAGGGGCACTACCTGGTTGTCTTCAATGTCTCAGGTACTAGGAAGGGGCACATACCTGGTTGTCTTCTAATGTCTCAGGTACTAGGAAGGGGCATACCTGGTTGTCTTCAATGTCTCAGGTACTAGGAAGGGGCACATACCTTGTTGTCTTCAATGTCTCAGGTACTAGGAAGGCACATACCTGGTTGTCTTCAATGTCTCAGGTACTAGGAAGGGGCACTTACCTGGTTGTCTCAATGTCTCAGGTACTAGGAAGGGGCACATACCTGGTTGTCTTCAATGTCTCAGGTACTAGGAAGGGGGCACATACCTGGTTGTCTTCAATGTCTCAGGTACTAGGAAGGGGCACTTACCTGGTTGTCCTCAATGTCTCAGGTACAGGAAGGGGCACACCTGGTTGTCTCTCAATGTCTCAGGTACTAGGAAGGGGCACCACCTGGTTGTCCTCAATGTCTCAGGTACTAGGAAGGGGCACTTACCTGGTTGTCCCCAATGTCTCAGGTACTAGGAAGGGGGCACTTACCTGGTTGTCCTCAATGTCTCAGGTACTAGGAAGGGGCACTTACCTGGTTGTCTTCAATGTCTCAGGTACTAGGAAGGGGCACTTACCTGGTTGTCTTCAATGTCTCAGGTACTAGGAAGGGGCACATACCTGGTTGTCTTCAATATCTCAGGTACTAGGAAGGGGCACTTACCTGGTAGCTTCAATGTCTCAGGTACTAGGAAGGGGCACTTACCTGGTTGTCTTCAATGTCTCAGGTACTAGGGAGCGCCTTACCTGAGTCTCGGGTACTAGGAGGACTTTACTTGGTAGTTCCAATATCTCGGGTACTAGAGGGGGGACTTACCTGGTAGTCTCCGATGTCCTGAACGATACAAGGGAGGGAGGCATCACGGCCGGCAGTGACAGTCACATTCGGGATGGTGGCCACGAACTTTGGTAATCTCATAGACGACGATGACGAAGACGACGATGAACACGTCCCTAGGAGAGAACACAGCACATTAGGATGACGTTAACACCTACAGGAGAGAATTAGAGTAAGGAATTATAACCTGATGTATTAGTATAAGGTGAGATGTTTATTAATGAGCAGGTGGAGAAAGTCAGGTGAGATAAAATGGTCAGGTGTGAGGAACAAGTGGTCAGGTGTAGGAACAAGTGGGCAGGTGAGATAAAGTGGTCAGGTGTGAGTTTAGGGTAGGTTAGGATAGGTTAGGTTAGGTCATATAAAATCACTCATTATATATCAAACGATTATAAATGAAACATAATATATATATATATATATATATATATATATATATATATATATATACATAAATTTATTTAATCATATAACGTAGTATTATATAGCATACAGAAAGCCATAAAAAGGGTTAAAGATGAAGCATACATAACTAGCCACACACACACACACACACACACACACACACACACACACACACACACACACACACAACACACACCCACTACAGTTTTCAATGACCTGATGTTAATAATGGTTCTCGGAAACTAGACTTAAGTAGGAAAAAAAGGTTATGGCGTGTTTTAGAAATTTAGAGGAGTAATCCTAGCATGAATTAATTTCTTGAAAGGTGCAATTAGAAATTTAGTCTTATATCCCGGGGAAAAATTATCGAGCATTTTTGTAATTGATTATTTAAAAACGAAAAAAGTTCAGAACGCTGCAAGGTGAAAAAACTTTGGTAAAGGAGGTGAACTAGGGGAGTAGGGGAGGTGGGGGGAGGGAATGAGGAGGTATGGTGGGAGAGGGAGGTGGGCTGGTGGGGGGTGGGTTGTGGCTGGGGGACTGGTGATGTAAACGAGAAATGCATGGGGGGAGGGGGGTAGGGGTGAGGAGAGGAGGTGGGTGGGGGGGGGTGGGGGGGGTAGTGGGGGGAGAGGTGGTGGGTGGGGTAGGGGGTGAGGAGTAGGGTGGGTGGGGGGTAGGGGGGTGAGGAGGAGGTAGGGTGGGGGGGGTGGTGGGGGGTGAGGAGAGGTAGGTGTGGGGTGGGGGGGAGAGGTAGGGTGGGGGGTAGGGGGGTGAGGAGGAGGTAGGGTGGGTGGGGGGTAGTGGGGGTGAGGAGGTAGGGTGGGTGGTGGGGGTGGAGGAGGAGGTGGTGGGGTAGTGGGGGGTGAGGAGAGAGGGTGGGGTGGGGGTAGGGGGGGTGAGGAGAGGTAGGGTGGGTTGGGGGGGGGGGGTGAGGAGAGGTAGGGGTGGGTGGGGGGTGAGGAGAGGTAGGGTGGGTTGGGGGTGGGGGTGAGGAGAGGGTGGGGTGGGGGGAGGAGGTAGGGTGGGTGGGGGAGAAGAGGTAGGGTGGGGGTAATATATCACAGCAGTTGTTTTTATTGTAAACTTAATTTCTTCATATTCCAAAAAACTTAAGATCGATTATTTTTTTAAAGTTTCATTATGATTTACAGTGACGCCTGTTTTAACGTAACAATTACCTGTGTTAACTTTACTTAATATTGGTGTTAATTGTGTGTCAACTTTACATTGGCAGGTAAATAATTATATGTTAACCTTACATTTACATAATATAAATTTTTGCCTCCTCCTCCACACACACACACACACACACACACACACACACACACACACAACACACACACACACACACACACACACACACACACACACACACGTACAGGACTGACTTTTTAGCTTGGTGTACATGTAACATAATCTATCTCGTTATGAAATTTCACTCCAATTACCGAAAACTGAATTATGAAGAAAATAAAAAAAACAATAAAAATATATATTAAAAAAAAAAGTGGCGATATATACACCATTAAAAGAGACTGTGTGTGTGTGTGTGTGTGTGTGTGTGTGTGTGTGTGTGTAAAGCAACCACTCCCAAACTTTCCCCTCACGGCCACTTGCTGAGCCAATACATTACTAATCCCGGAGCTGGTTTGATGTGCTCTTAGAGGAAAAACGGAGAAGGAAAACTTGCCTCATTGAGCTTGGTCTGTGGTGATTGTGGTGATACTGGTGGTGATACTGGTGGTGATAGTGGTGGTGATTAGGTGATACTGGTGGTGGTGATACTGGTGGTGGTGATAGTGATGGTAATAGTGTTGGTGGTGGTGTAAGATCAGTGACTTGGTTTACAGCGACAGGTGAGTCAATTAATTAACCCTTTACACATAGGGAAATACCTGCAAGATTCGCTTATTATAACATCACTAACGACCTTGAAGAAAAAAAAATAGGAACTAAAATAGATCACATTAATAGGACACCTCAGGAATAGGTAGGGAATGATAACTAAAGGAGGAAATTGAAGGAAAAATACAAAAACGAAAGAAAAAAATAGAAAAAATATCGCTAGAATATTAAAAAAATATTTAACTACAACTTTAATTAAGGAAACATGACTCAGCGGAAGTAAATATATTATAGAAATTGTAACATTGAGAGAAAAAAAAACTCATTAGACTGTATATTGAAGAAATAATTTAAATAATAATAAAAAAAATTAAATGTTATGGAAAAAACAAAGGTCATCTGTGTTCTTTGAATATGAAAAGTGGAGAAAGTAGCCGAAAAGTGGAGAAAGTAGCCGAGAAGTGGAGAAAGTAGAGAAATTAGCCGAGAAGTGGAGAAAGTAGTCAATAAATAGAGGAAAGTATCCGAGACGTGCAGAAAGTAGCCGAGAAGTGTGGAAAGTAGTCGATAAATAGAGTAAAGTAGCCAAGACGTATAAAAAGTAGCCGAAAGTGTAGAAAGTAGCCGGAAAGTGTAAAATGTAGCCGAGAAGTGGAGAAAGTAGCCAAAAGTGAAGGAAAGTGGAGAAAGTAGCAATCGACACTGTTGAGAGAGACTTATTATTTATTGTCTCTCTGTTGGTGTCGTATTGATAGGCCAGTGTTGTCTGTCTGTCTCTCTATCTCTACTCTATCTATCTATCTATCTATCTATCTATCTATCTATCGGGTATGCCTGTCTGTCTCTCTGTCTCTGTCTATCTATCTATCTGTCTGGGCAAGTTTCTTTACGCCATTTGCCTCTGTCTACCCAGCAGTAATTGGGAACCTGGATGGTAATCGATTTGCGGATCGTGTTACGGGGTAATGGTTAGCCAGTGCAGTTGGTGAGTTGTCCGGTCTTCTTGGACTATTCCTTGACACTGGATCATGCAACTCGTTAAATACTACTTCTTGCACTGTCACTATGTTGAAACGCCCTGTAGTTTGAGCTTTTCCCCATCTAGTTATTATATATCTTATTTATATCACTTATGTTATTTGTATATTATTTGTAATTCGAAACCCATTCCCCAATTATGTAACTGTATATTTTCAGCCTTCTGGCTGCCAAGCTCTTTCAATAAACCGTTAATTATTATTATTATTATTACTTAGGGCGTGGTCATTGTGTAGGGGCAACTATTATTATTATTATTGTTATGTATGTATGTATGTATGTATGTATGTATGTATGTATGTATGTATGTATGTGTGTGTGTGTGTGTGTGTGTGTGTGTGTGTGTGTGTGTTCCTTTGAGAGTCGAAGTACCGGTGAAGACAGTCTAGTCATGTTTAGAATGGGAGGCTGTGGTTGCTAATTTTACGACGAATTACCTGCATCTCTCTACCTGTATATAGACTAATCACATAAACTTGTAAAGGTGATAAACTAATTGCCAGGTACCTAACTTGTCATTTGAGTAAGTGGAGGTTTAATTGTATTACCAACCTTGTTTTTCTCCTTGTATACCGTAGATTTAGTATACAGTGTACGGCCGGTATCCAGGTATCTACTGTAAACTGATATACCTGGTCGTCATTCCAAGGCAGGTGTGGTAGATATCAGAGGTCACGGTCATTGAAAGGTCAGTGAGAAGAGGTCAGAAAAAGAGAGATGAGTAAATGAGAAAGAAAACCAATAATAAACACGGAAATTAATAAAGAAAAACTTTTAAATGATGAATGATGAAAAAAATTGGAGAACAATAATACATAAGAAATTTTATTAGAACTATGATTTTTATTCAAGAGTGAACTTCTATTTGTTAGTTGTGTGTGTGTGTGTGTGTGTGTGTGTGTGTGTGTGTGTGTGTGTGTGTGTGTGTGTGTGTGTGTACGTCACTAGTGGGTTCAGGGTATCTCTCTCTCTCTCTCTCAACCGTTTGTAAGGTAAATTCTATCTACCCAATTGTAATGAGAACGTCTCAAATTGGCTCAACACAGTAAACAGATATCCCTGAGAGAGAGAGAGAGAGAGAGAGAGAGAGAGAGAGAGAGAGAGAGAGATCCCTATTTTAATTCTCTCAAATCTTAGAGCAAGGTTCCATTACCCACTTGATCTTTCTGAATCCAAATCCCTTGCCCTTTTCCCAATCCCTGCCTCTTTCTCTCTAATCCCTGTCCGCTTTTCCCTAATCCCTACTCATTAATCCACACTCCCACACTCATCTACATTATCCCACACAGACCTGTTATATCTCTTGTCCTTCCTTCCTTCCTTCCTCTCCCTTCCTTCCTTCCTTCCTTCCTTCCTTCCTTCCTTCCTTCCTTCCTTCCTCTTTCCATTCACTACCCTTCCTCCTTTCCTGCTCCTCGACCCTTCCTCCGCTCCTTTCCTTATGCCTCCCTCTCCTCCTCCCCATCATCTTGAGGGACAGGTAGTGTGAGGCAAGACCTCCGCCTCAATTCTCCAATAGAAGAGAGAGGCAGAGAGTCCGCCATATTTACACGTAAACACGCCTAGAGTGGCGGGAATGGACAAATACGCCAAGGGTGCTCAAGTGGGCGAGTAAAGACAGGCTAGTTTCTCGCCCACCTTTCTAGCCGAGGAGGACGGTCACTGGCCAAGATTAAGTCAACAGCCAGATGAGAAGTGTCGGTAGGGTAAGATCTCAGTGTGTGGGATACTGAGAGAGAGAGAGAGAGAGAGAGAGAGAGAGAGAGAGAGAGAGAGAGAGAGAAAGACACATATAAATATCCTCACTACCTTGATAATCGCGAAAAG